TTTTTCCTTGCTCATCACCTCCAGCAGATGTAAGTTCACCAGGACAAGGAGCTTATGGGTTTGTTCATCACTCTAGATCCATCACAGTGCTCTGCACATAGAAGTTCATCAATGAGTTGTTGAGTGAGCAAACAAGCTTGACACTGAGAACGAACCAAAGATGCTGAACAAATAATTGTGTTATGATGACCACAACTTTTAGACCCCGGTAAGTGTTTCAGATTTTATTCGAAGTACAATGGTTTATTTTGAATAGATCTGGGCCTACTCATTGCCTATATTAGCATAGTGTCTCATTCAAATGAAACAACTGATACCAAAAACAGAAAAGTAAAGCAACCTAATATTTACTGAAATCTATAGGATGAGCATGAAGTTGAATTTCTTTACATCAGTCAAAAAACACGATTTAAGAAATCTTAATCTACGTCTCCATAGTGGTCATGGTGTTACTGTAAACTTAATTTTAGTGGAAAACAAGACAATCTAGTCTTCCCTGATCTAAAAATGGATTAGATCAGGTGAGAAGAGTGAAGTGTTCCAGGCAGAGGAAGTAGTAGCAAGTTTAAAAGCCTCAGGATTGGAGTATGGGATATTTGGAGAAATGAAAGAATAGCAACATAGCTAGAGCCTTGAGAGGAAGAGGCAGAGGTGAGTGGGAAGTTATGGTAAGTCTCAGGCTATGGACTTTGTTTTAAAGGAAATGAAAAGGTTTAGGTAGTGAGTAAAGTTATTAGGTTAATGGGTGGGTTTCTTTTTTAAAAAATTATTTTATTAGTTGTTGATGGACCTTTATTTATTTATAATGTGGTGCTAAGAATCTAATCCAGTGCTTCACACATGCTAGGAAAACGCTCCACCACTGAGCCACAAACCCAGTCCATTTCTTCTTCTTTTTTTCCCCAATGCTAGGGTTAAACCCAGGGCCTTTACATATGTTAGACAAGTGTCCTACTATTCCCCACCCCAAGTTTGTGTTTTTAAATAAACAGAATAATATGTGGGGAATGGGTTATAGGTGGGGAATGGGATGCTTGGTGAAGTAGGGTAGGGTATATTGTAGAGATGATCTAGGAAAACTCTGTAGGTGAATGAATATATGAGAAGAGAGAGGTCCAGATAGAGGGGACAGTTAGATCTGGAGAATAGTGTTAGATTCTAGGAAGTTGTATGATTAAGATACAGCAACTCACTGGCCTTACCATAAGGGTAGGGTGTAGGGTAGCGAAGATCTACGAAAACTGGGTAGGTGAATGAATGTAAGAGTACAGGCCAGAGAAGAGAGAGGTCTAGATAGAGGGGACAGTTAGGTCTGGAGATTAGTGTTAGATTCTAGGAAGTCATATGATTAAGATACAACTCACTGGCCTTACCATAAGAAAGAGCAAGAGTCAAGATGACTTCCAGAGTGTTGATTTAGACCATAGAGTAGAAGGTTGTGCCAGCACCAAGATAAAGAAAAACTGCACTGCAAGGGGAGCCAGTGGGAGGTGGATGAGTGGTGAGGATGATGATAAGGCTTGTGGTACATGCGAAATATATAAGAGAAGATACCAAGCAGACAGTTAATAGATGGCAGTGTGAGGGTCTGTGGAATTCTGGGCACAAATACAGTTATCAGTCTAGTGAATGAGTAAAGTGAGATGTGTATGTAGGGTCCTAAGGTACCTCACTATTTCAAGATCAGTGAGAATGAGCCAGCAAGAGTGAGCTGGAGAGGTAAAGGGAATATGGGGAATGTATGTGGGGCTACAGAAGGTCTTAATGACATGGTCTAAGATGAAAGTCTGAGTAAACTAGCAGTTAGATTTTAAGAAGAGTAACACTAAGCAATGTAAGTTCTGTTAACTCACCTGTTTTCCTGGATATCATATATCAAAATTTCTAGGGGGAAAAACACCTCTCCAAATCCTACCTTAAAAATGACTATCTAGGCCTAGTATTGTGGCTCAGTGGTAGAGCGCTTGCCTAGTACCCATGAGGCACTGGGTTCAATCCCCAGCACCTGGCCCCCCACAAAAAATACTAAATAAAGGTATTGTGTTCATCTACAACTAAAAAAATTTCTTTAAAAAAGGGCTATTTTCATGTATTTTATCATCTAGTATTTTATATGCATAAACATTTTTGCATTGTTGCAACTACAATGGATACATAATTTTGATTTTTTTTCCACTTTAAGTGAAAGGAATTTATGGCTTTATAATTATCATTTTAGTAACTGTATAATGTTCCATTCAATCACATTTTAGAGATTTTTATGAAAGGATATGTCTGATTCTATTAAAACTATAGGAAAATAAACTTTTGTCACTATAAAATTCTTCCCTACAGCATGATCATTGTAAAGAGTTAAGCAAATACAGGAGCAAAATATTATTATTATTATTATTTCAGTACTGGGGATTAAACTGAGGGCCCCACAAGTGCTAGGCAAGCACTCTACTTCTGAGCTACACTCCCAGCCCCTCTTCTGAATTTTAAATACACACAAACCAATTTCTATATGTTGCCTTTTGCCTACAACTTCATACAGTTACATTTCAACCTTGAAAAGAAAATGGAAAATTTGAATTATATCCTAAGATGAGCAAGGTTAAACTAGAGGAAGACATGTTTATTTCATTGATCCTTGAAATACAAGGACTTTCTTCATAAACTAGTAACAAAGATCAATATGTCACCTTGATGCACACTGTTTGCTTTGACTCTTTCACAACAGATAAGGCAGTCAAGGGCAAAAGTAAATGATACTTTTATTCATTGCTATTAAACCTTAAAAACAAACTAAATTGTTCCAAGGTATCCAAATTTCCAAGCAAATTCCTAAATTTTATTTATATTTTTTAGCCTTCTTTACTGATTTCATGCTTTCAAAGCTTTTACATCCTCACAAATATCCTTTAGTACAAATTGGCTGAAATGATTAATACTTGCTTCAGCTGAAGTGTTCCTTCTTAGTTGTTTAAAGATAACCCCTAAACTGATGAATGAACTGAACTGTCACATGATAAGAAAAAGGCACTTAGGATTTGAGTTTCTTGTAGGAAAGGGTGAAACAATTCCACCAGATCTCATGACTCAGTCAAGGACAGTTTTACTCTTTGATCTAATAAACTTCTCTTTTAGAAACCAGTTATTTAGCTCAGAGAAGCTAAAAGACTCTTCTTGCCACCAACAGTCTTTAATTTGGTGATATTCAGAGTAACTGAACAGAGAGCCTAGGATACTAGAGCTGCTTGATTCCTTTTGGCTTAACTCAGTTACATAAGTATAAAGCTCCTACTTTGTGCAAGACAAAGTACCATGTACAGTATCTATAACATTCTTACTTAAAGACATGTCTCCTTCTCATTAAGATCAGACTTAGTATTGTATATGGGTCTTGTTGGCAGTTTCCTGTGTTCCTCTTTAGTGAGCAACTATTTTGGTCTTCCCTCCAGGTTGTTGAGAATATGTAGTAATGCCAGGTCTATCCAGAGTACCAGCCAACTTAAGGCAGGTTCCTGGGCTAAGGACTGGGTTTCTTTTTGTGTTGCGGGGAGAGAGGAGGAGAAAGGGGAATGGATGGTAAGGAGAATTATGAGCCTCTGAATCATTTGAGATCCTAGAAATGTTGACTACCTTCTATACACCACGTTCTCATTGAACCCTTGGTTAATTATCAGAAGTGTATGAAGGAGACTATATCATTCAACTGCATTTTACAGATAAGGAAACTGGCTGGTGACCACGGTCAGAGTAAATGCTGGATCTGGGATCCAAATCTCTTTTCTAGGTCTTCAAAGGCTTTCTGCTACAGTGTATAGGGACTCAGTTGGTGTATAGGTCTATAGCCAATCATACAGTACCCATCACCTTCACATTTTTACAGGACAAAATCTATCTAGAATGTCTATCTAATAAAGAAGCAAAGAGAAAAGAAGTCATGAACATGCCTGTGAAGGGTGTGGGTCTACCTTTTTCCTTTTTTGTCTTGATGAGGAGCCCCTTAGGTCATTTTAGAACAGGCTTCAATGCCTGCCATCTGGATTCTGTACCCATATCACAAAGACTTGTTTCCTTCACTCAACTAAAATATGAATGGCTGTCCTAGTTCCGTCTCAAATAATAGTTGTGAAGGTCAAATAAGGCACTAAACTGTAGCAGACATCCTTCCAAGATATTGGGAAATATGAAGTAGCTACTTAAATTCCTGATTACTTGAGTTACTTGAGAAAGCAATAGTATTTGGTAACTGAACTTAATTGATACTATCTAAAATCACATTCTAACCAGCAAATTTAATCCAAGATTTGGCCCTTTGTAGAGTTTTTTAAAGACAAGGAAAAAAAAAAAAAAAAAGAGTAGGGTATAAAATGCCAGTAAGAATAATTAAATTTCTTACTCTTTTGAGCCCTACCCCATAGATGAAATGAGGACAGAACAAAAAGATTTAGAAAAAAAGCCAGAGAGAGACACGCGTATGTGTTAATACACAGTACATAGTACTGTGGTAAGGAAATAAGTTATGGGGTAAAGGCTTCAGACTGTCCCTGGGGACCGCTCCCGTTCTGGGCAGTCCCTTTGGCAATACTCCAGAGTCTTGAGTCCCAGGGCTCCCCCCAGCGGTAAGGGAGAGACGCGTGTGATGAGGCGCGCACTTACGCGTACATTCACAAGTACACATACACACACACACGCACACGCACGCACGCACACACACGCACGCACATACGAGGCCTGCGTCCTCCGCTCCCCCTAGCCCCGGGGGGGCGGGTCTCTTTCTCTTTAAAGAGCAGACGGTCTCCGCACAAACCCAGGCTCTCTAAGGCCCCGGGGGCCCGGGACCCGAGCCGCTCGCAGCCAATGGGCGCGGTGGAGCGGCTCGAGCGCGGCTGACGCTGCACCAATGGGCGCCCGCGGGGGGCGGGGGCAGCAGAGGAGACACTATTGTTGATGAGGAGCAGCGGCGGCGGCGGCGGCGGCTGCACCACCTCGTTACTGCCGGCCGCGGCCCAGTCTCCCCCCCGCGCCCCGGAGTCCGGCTTCGTCACTTGGTCGCGGGGACCTTCCCTCTGGCCCCAAGAATCCTCCCCCTGCAACCCAACAAGAGAAAACCCCCCTCGTCTCGCCCAGTCACCGGGGAGGGGGGACCATGTCCCAGCGGGTGAGGCGCAATGGGTCCCCCACGCCGGCCGGTGCCCTCGGGAGTGGTGCAGTCGCCACGGCTGGGGGACCCGGGAGCCGCCTGCAACCCATGAGGGCGACGGTTCCATTCCAACTGAAGCAGCAGCAGCAACATGGCAGCCCCACGCGGAGCAACGGCGGCGGCGGCGGCAACAACAACGGCGGCTGCTGCGGTGGCGCCTCAGGCTCCTCAGGCGGCGGCGGCGGCGGGGGCCCGCGCACCGCCTCCCGCAGCACGAGCCCCACGCGCGGCAGCGGGAGCGCGGCCGCGCGCACCAGCCCCACGGTGGCCACGCAGACGGGCGCGTCCGCGACGTCCACGCGGGGCACCAGTCCCACGCGCGGCGCCGCGCCTGGGGCTCGTGGAAGCCCCCCAAGACCGCAGCCCCCGCCCCCGCCTCCGCTGCTGGGTACCGTGTCGTCGCCTAGCTCGTCGCCCACCCACCTGTGGACGGGCGAGGTGAGCGCGGCTCCACCCCCAACCCGCGTCCGGCACCGGAGGAGGTCCCCGGAGCAGAGCCGCCCCTCCCCGGAGAAGAGGAGCCCGAGCGCCCCGGTTTGCAAAGCGGGTACGTATCGGGGCCGGGAGGCGAAGGCAGGAAAGGGTTCAGGGGCTCCGTGCCGGGACTGCGGCGTTTTAGCGGAGCCCGGGGCGGGGGCGGGGCAGGGGGCGGGGTGGGTGACCCCACTCCGGGAGTTCGGCCTTGCCTTTGCCGGGTGCGGGGTGCCCAAGCCGCCGCCCTTTGCCGGCCTCATTCATCCCTCCTCCGGTCCTGCGCGGGTCCCGGGCGGTGGAGGTGGCAGCTGCTAACCTTGTATGTGTTAATGATAAACCTGGGTTTCTCTTTTCCGCTGGTTACTGCTTATCCTCCCTTGAGGGTGAGGCTAGAAATGGTTTGTCACTTTGTTTTAATGACGTGATTAACGCTAGCATAGAGGATGTATGCTGCTAAGTGTTTCTGTTGAACAAAACAGTTTCAGATCGGGAAATTGCAGTCATTTGAACAATGGTCGATGGATCACTGAAGAGCCGTGAGGCTGGAAGCGTTTTTTTGCATTTCGTAAGACTTGATAAATGGATAGCAAGAAGTGACAAGCAGGATTCTTTTGGAAGGCTTATGGATTTTGTCTTGAGGATCTGGGTGTATTTCTGATACGTTGATTTTGCGTTTTGGATTTACAAAACAAAATTCATCGTTTCTTTCCCTTCTGTTATTATTTGGTGGACCTAAAATTTGTTGTTCTTACATATCTGACAGCTTTCTTGGGAAATGTCCTGAGTGAAGCTGTTCGTTTCCAAGTAGTCATTCAAAAAGAGTAGTTCAAAAGAAAAGCAAAGTGTGGAAAGGAATAAAATCATTTGGCTGCCTTTCCATCAGAACCTAGTGAAAAAAGACACTGGTGGTTTTTAGTTATGCCGTAATACATGTGCCTACATATACCTTTGTCTTCATCTGTTTGGGGGAATTTCTGTAGAATCTTATAGGAAGAATGTTTGGGAATTTCAGGAGACTTAGTACAGTACTTTCTAACCAAGTGTCAGATGAAGTGGTTTCAGAAGTGGAAAGAGTAGGATGAATCTGTTTTATAAAAGGTTTTAGATAATAGTTTTTGGGGAGAATTGCTCTAGAAAATGATCAACAGTAGAAACAGAGCCCTTTTTAAACCTTTTGAGAATGCAGATTGCTTTTAAAAAACTTTGTTGAATGAGAGTACTAGGATTTTCTGCCTCTCCCTTCTTATTGAACTCCTACTGAGTGATTTTCATACAGATTCTCATTTTATCCTTCACCATAGCCTTTGGATAGGTTAAGTAACAAGTGGCAGAGTTGGTATTTGAACTCTGGTTGGTTGTATTTCAAAGACCAAGTCTTCAGATTTTATTAAGGAAGTAGTTTCATGAAACCTGAGAAATATATGGCACACTGAATTACATATACTTAGTTTTGTGGCAGTTCTTATCTGGTGAACAGGATTGCTTCAGTTTGCCTTTGGCCTTCTGGAGCCAGAATAGTGCATCAGGTGGAAGGGAAAGGGCTACTTAAGTAGGCAATAAGGTGGAGAAAGGACCTGGAGCCCCCAGTCTGGTAACAGAATCGGGATATCCTGTCAGCTATTTGATACTCAAAGCAGAGAAGCAGCCTGAGGAGACGTGGGCTAAATTCAATATTGGCGAAGGTGGAGGAAGGTGCTTTTTTCATCTGGTTTCTGGGAGGCTGTTTCCTGGGATCTCAGGCTCCTAGTGTGCCCATTCCATTTTGCATGTTTTCCAAAGCTTCATTCCCCCAGATGTGTCATTCTATAGAATATTTATGCTGTACAATTAATTATCATGATTAACCCTCCCCCCATGAAAACGTACTCTCCTGGTGTGGCACTCTAAACCAAGTGTAAGGGATATTGCTTGTTATTAAGTCTTACTCAAATGTAAATGTCTGATAGCTTCTTTCCTGGAATGTATTTTTGTTTCATCCTAAGGATCATCTGTGCAGAGTGGGAAACATTTTTCCAGATTTTAATTCTTAGCACATGCTATGATTAAATAATTTGCTGTTTTGTATGACTAACTCTGGAAGAGTCTTTAGTTACTGGAGTCTTTTTGATTAAAGGGCTGTTATCAATTTGCAAGCTCAATGGAATGTGAAAGTTCTTACTTTAGAAGGAAAGGGTCTATTTCATATAGTTCTTTAAACCTCATGTGACTCAACTTCCAGATCAACCTGTTGGCTTCTAGGTGTCTTATTAGATGAGCTGGATGTCATAATTTTTGTTAGGGCTCCCTGAGTCCCTAAGTTGAAGGTCTTACTATGTGTATGTACCTTGTTGCCTCATTCTTCTGGGGTTTGAGCTAATCATTCTCTAATCTAGAACTTCCTTCTCTTTGCTATGATAAGGTAATCTAAGCATCCACCCCTGATAGATATTTTAAACATTCCATTGTCAGTGCTTGACTTCTCCATTGCAAAGTGGTTTGTCATTAGGAACCCAGATATGCTTAGTGAAGGTAACTAGGCAGCAGCATTAACTGTGGTTTGTTTTATGCCTTCCCTTCTTTTGCCTGATTTAGTCTTATTCAAATTTCAAATTCATATTTTTAAAATAAAGAGGTGGCATAACAGGAGAGTAGGCTTTGGGTGAACAGTCTGGGTTTAATACTGTGTTCTATTACTTACAAGCCAAGTGATATAGGGAAGTTAAGAACTTTGTAACCCTAAACCTACTTAACTGTAAAATTGGTGATGATATGTATTTCACATGATGCTAGGGATAAATGAAAGAAAAACAGCATAGTAGCTCAGAAGTTTTTGTGTATCATATTTGTCTTTTATTGTTAGTGGCTGTAACAACTTGCCGATATAGCCTCAGTTTTCATAGTTGTATGAATTTTTTTTAGTTTTTTTGATATAATGCATATGTGGGATACAGTGTGATGTTTTAATATATGTATACATTGTGGAATGATCAGATTAGGCTAATTAATTCATCTGTCACCTCAAATACTTAGGGTTATTTGTGGTGAGAACATTTAAAATCCATTCTTTTATATTTGTGTATTTTAAAATACATAATCCAGTAGACTCAAGTTGAAAATCTGCCTATAATTTTTGACTCCTCCAAAACTTGACTGAAAGCCTGTAGTTGACTGGAAATTTCATTTAAAACATAGTGAATTAACACATTTTGTGTGTTATATTTATTTATATGGTGAAAAATACATGAGAACCTCAAGATATTACTTTTTACTGCTCCCTGCAATTTACCAAAAGTTGAACTGCTCAGGTGTAGAGGATCAGTGTCAGATTGTGTTTACTCAAAACACTTGAGCTCACCGAAATAGCAACAGCATGTAGCTATGAAATTATTACAGTAGTACAGTAATACTAAATTTAATTTCATGCAGTTATGATTTAATACTGCATCCTCACCTTTGTTTACATTTCTCTTCACTGAGAATGGGGCCATATTTACTCTGTATTTGTGTACTAATTTTTGGTAAATGTTTTTAACTTTTTGTAATAGGCTTATGAATATTATATGGTAGAGGTGATAAAAATAGACTATCTATAGGTAATAGTAAAGTATATGGGGACATCTGTATTGTATGCATTTGTGACATATCTAATACAAAAAAAGTTTAAACTTTTTTTGTATTTCTAAGCTATGCAGTCTTTCTGTGAATTGTTTTCAAATTGTTCTAGAATCCTTCAAAAATCATTTTGTTTCACACCTGAGCAGTTCAAATCTGTGTTTTTCAGGGGTCAGTAGTACAGTATTATTAACTGTGGTCACCCTCATACCTTATACTATGAATCTCTTCCACACGGTCATTCCTGACTTGTGCCCTTATAATGAACTCCTAAGTGTAAATGTATTTTCCTGAGCTCTGTGACTCATTCTAGGAAATTGCCAAACCTTGGGAAGGGATCATGGGAATCTCTGATTTATAGCTGTTTGGTCAGAAGTAAAGGTGGCCTAGGACTTGTAGTATCTGTTGGGGGGCAGTCTTATGGGACTAAGTCTTTAAGGAGTGGAGTCTGTGCTATCTCTGTCTAGTTAGGATCAGAAATGAATTGTTTCTTGACCATCCATTTGGTGTCCAGAGAGTCAGAGAATTGCTGGTTTTCCTGTTGGAAAATGCCCCAGGGTATTTGTTTAAAAATGCATATTTTCAGGCCCTACTATGGACCTTGCAAATCCCTACCCATTCCCTGCACCCCTTCTCTCAATTTTGCTGTACTCTAAATTGAAAAATAGTCACTAGAAGTCCCCAAAGAAAATAACTAGAAGACTTATTTAAAAAGAAAAGTAATTAGCCCAGTATTTGTTATTTTTGTGGTGCAGCTGGTATATTGATAGCAAGATGTGTTCTTGGGAAGTTTTTCCCTTACTCTGCATATATAAAGTTGTGTGTGAATTTGATGGTTTATTGGGGTTGGGAGAATGCTAAGAACAGCAATAAAAGATGCGCTTCTCTGGACTAACAAGCACAATTAGTAAGTAGGGTACTAGAACTTTGTATTTGTGGCATTTTGATGTCTGTTTTCTAGCACTTTATGAAGTACAGAACTCTAAAAATTCAGGGCTCTAACTTAATTTGGAGGGCTGCTGCTAATTTCACACCTTAAGGGAATTCTTTTGGCTTGTGATGTCTGTATTTTACAATTGAGGTTGATGCATTATAGAGGTTTACTGTTAGGTCTCCATTTTGGCTAATAGACTTTTCACTTATTAAGTTCAGTTCTGTAAGTTTGATTGAACTACCTTATATGTTACTGATTAGGCAGTACCAAAGGTATTTTTAAAAAACACAGGAAACTCCAAAGACTAAAACTAGCCATGTAAGTCAGGTACATAGTATATAACATGATGAGTGCTGAGGGCTCATAGTGAATAATTTTATAGGAATGGGTATAGAAGTTTTCTGACAAGATGGCTTTTGATTTGAGTTGGAAAGGGAGGAACCAGAACTTTGCAGTGCAAAGTTGAAAATGCACATGTCATGTTAAGTCCTGTATGGCTTAAGGGTAGAAAGAAGAGCCAGTAAAGAAGCCTGAGAATGTGATAGAAT